CAGTTATTTCTAACAATAAGATTAATTTTTCATAAATATATATTATAGAACTAATTTTTTATTTTATTTTTTTAAATAAAATTTAAATATTTATTATTTAAATGTTAGTGTTTTATCAGTTTCTCTTATATTTATTTATTCATAATAATTTTCCTTACAAAAATAATTTCATATATTTAAAAAATATCACTTCTATGAATTGATTAAATTAAAAATCATAGTCATTTCAACATACGCATTCATATAAAGATAGTATCAAAAAATATTACACATGTAATGTACATAAAAATATACCAACCAAAAATAAAATAGAATGATATAAACATTTAAATTATTTCGTTATTATGTTTTAATATCAATTACTGAAACATATGTCGTATTTCATTTTATCTCTTATGCATTTCTTATTTTTTAAGTTTCTAAATACATATAACTTTACTGTAAAATCGTTAAAATGAAAAAAAGAATAAATGTATTAGCAAAATCGATTTTTGTGTCATTAATTATTAGTTTTATTCATAAACTTACATTTTGAATGAAAACGAGCAAGAAACTTAACTTTGCTCTGTTTTCTTGCAATGTAAAATTTAGTAGATCGATTATTCTAATATGTATAAGTGCAGCAATTATAATTATGGAGATCTACTATTGTCGTCCATTGATCAATAAGAAAAATATAGTTAGAAATCTACCATGGCGGAAGGCGTACGAACTGTTTTATCGCCATTCTTGTTAATCAGTTCATTATGCGGTATGAGAATTATCGAGATTTCTACGAGAGGTCCAAAATTTTGGTTCAGTCTTTTTTACATTCCACTATTATGGTCGGTTTATTGTTTTTTTGTGATAGATAAAGGGATATCCTATATACCCGATGAATCCGCCGATTACATTATTTATGTTTCATTGAATATTTTTACAGTTTTGTTATCAATTTTTCTTGGGATATATTATAATAAGGTAAGAAAATATTAAATACTAAAACACAATATACACATAATTAATTTTTTATTTCAATTATATTATATTAATTACTTTCATATAAAATAATTTTAAATTCTTTATTTA